ACCCGGCTCCTCAGACAATAAGGAATTAGATTAAAACTCCTAAGTGGTCTTCGTAAAAGTTGGGTTGAGGCTAAGTTGTGGATTGGGTCCCCACAACTCCAACCCATTAAGTCGAATTCGTTTTGTGGCCTACCTGCCACGACCTCCCCCTGCCTGATATGGGGGTTCACAGTAGGTCGATTCTCCCAGTTGCGCAACTGGGCGCAGGAGGGATGTACAAATATTGATTGATTGGCCAAAGAACTTGTCTGACCTTCAGAATCCATTTATAAGAGAGTTCACTCAAGAGCAAATGGTAGCTCCTTTTTTAGAAACTAATAGAAATGATATCTTTTGAAATCTTCAAACCTCTTTGTTCGTTATGGAAGCGAAGAGGAAATTTTTATGAGCTTAAGATGGAATTTCGAGCGTCTTACTATTTTAAGCATGCAGGCTAAGGAAAGACTTGACCATACATAGACCATTTAAAATTTAAAATTTAAACGCCTTATATATTTCTAAGATAAATTAAAGTTTGGTTTATAAATGTTTAAAATTCAGAAAGCATTGAATGAAAGTAAAATTCTTATCAATGAGCAAAACAGATATGTATAAATACCCTTTTATCACTTTTCGTTAGGTCTTTCCATGAATTTTCACTGAAAAGGCAGAAGCCTGATCAGTCAATGTAAACTTTTACTTTATGAAATAAAATTAGCGCTCCTTCTTGACCTGGGGCGTTTGTTTAATGTAAATCTGGCCGCTCTAACTCTTCTAAGAGATAAAAGGAGAGAAAACATAACGCTATGTCTGCAAACATTTATCGAAAAAAATCATATACCCGCAAATAATAGAAATCAATTTCAAAAAAATACGCCCTTAACCAAGCTGCGCCTATGGCAAAAGCCTGTCCATTGACGTTCTAGTGACAGGGCTGGGTGGTACAGATGAATTTGAAATATTTGAGGAATTATTGCAACTAATTCTTATGAGAGGAAAAACTGGTGCACAAGATTTTTTTCCTTAAATAAAAACTGTAATAAATAAATATAAATTAAGTTGGGATAAAATGACTGGATTTGTAAGTGGTGGTGCAGCTTCTATAGTTAAAGAAGAAAAATCAGAAAATGTTTTGCATTATGTGTTGCATAAATCATCAGAACGTTGTTTATGCCAAAAGTTTGTAGATGGATAATGTTACGGAAACAGTAACCAATAGTACTCATGGATGAGCTCTGAATTATTGAGAATTTATTGCGTGCGTTGCTTGAAAAGTTTTAAACTGAGTACGGAGAAATGATAAATTGCAATGAGCTGCTGTAGTTACTGTCCTGAAAATATTTTTTATTAATAAATCTATCGGAATGAAAAATCATAATGAAAGTTTTCATTAAACACACACAAAAAAAAAAGAAAAAGAAAACCGTTGATGAACTGCATAATGATGCATGGATAATAGATTTAGATTTTCTTGATAACATAACCGGTATTTAAATATTCTCAATAAAGAGAGGCAAAGAAAGAATAACTTATCACTGACATGTAGGTTTGTAATGAACACATTTGCAGTTGAATTGGAATTATGAGAGACGAAACTGGAATCAAAAACTTCCGTGCATTTCCTATACTTTAAATCTCATCCTATTTTTTCAGATGACACTACTACAGTTACTGTTATTAAAGCCAATAGAAAGCAGGTGATCTATACAGAGAATAGGAAAATATAAAATATAAGAATCAAAATAGGAAACAAATAGATAAATTAGAAAAATATCAAATAAATAAGTAGGAAAATATCATATAAATAAGTAGGAAAATATCAATGCATTAAAATGTAAATTACTGTTTGATTAAAACTGAAAAAAAGAAAAAAGAAAGTATAGAAATGATTGCAATTTATTTCTCACTAAAAAATTTCATCCTTACTTCCACACTTCATTTTGGATGTTAGGTTACGTTGTAAGGAATTTTCTCTCTTTACCGCGTGCCTTTTTGAAATAACTGGAAGCGCGTCTAGCTAGCAATCCGGAAGCCCGGAATTCAAATCTTGCAGAGAGCATTGCTCATTTTTTACCTTTCCTGCTCTATAAAAACCCCAACGACTCTACGAGGTCATTTGAATATGAATTTGAACAAAGATTATTATTTTTCAGATGAGAAATTGAAATTCGTATGCCATGTTAGTGTATAAGGTATTTCTCCCGCCTTCTTACCATGCTTTCGTGGTGTAGTGGTCAGCACGCTCGGTGCGTATTCGAGAGATCCGTGGTTCAAGTCCCGGCGATGACGTTGCACATTTTTCATCTAGTTTGGCATATGTCAGCGGCCATATTGGTTGTGGTTTTTGTGTGCTCCGTTAAAAGTGCTAAAATCTTGGTAATTATACCACTTGTGTTTGTGAAAATGTGATTCTTCCATGGATTACTATTTCCGGTTGCGATATTTGTGGTGTTTTTCCGCGAAGAAGGTAAATCTCCGAGGATAGGAAGACTTTTAAAATTGTTGCTGTCCGCCGCCTTCATTTGCATATTCTGAGTAAGCATTGTCTCTCAAGGTTTTTATATACCGTGCTAATAACTTTTGAGTATAAAATAGGATTTTATATGTGTTTCTCTACCTATTTATTGAAAATCGTGACTTTGGTACTTGTATGGAAAATGTTATATGCATTTGTAATTTTCAGTAAGCGTTAAGCTTTTGGATATCTGTTGGACACCAGGCGTTTGGTGCACCAACCTGCCCGTTGGTAGATTTGGTTAATATGCACTTCATAAAATTGTAATTTTTGCTTCAAAAATTATTTTGGAACTATTAAAACACCAAGTGAGATGGTTCGTCCAAAAAACAAAGAGCCTAAAAGGCAACGCCCCGAGAATGCAACGCAGTCGGCCAGTGCTCCAATAATAGATAAGGCACAGAAACAGAGCAGTACACGACAGCTAGACGTTGATATAATTTTGGTAAATGCCAGTACAGAGTATCAGGAGGCTTCAGAGTGCTATACTGATCTAATTGGTTATTTAAATAGAGACGACATTTCCACAAAAGCAAACAAAAAGATACGAGGTTTCTTTGACCATATGTTAAGAATAGTCTCGAGGCAGAGTTACAAAATAACCAATTGGGAAGGACAAATTGAACAAACTAAGAATATAGAGACATACATCCAAGGAATAGTCGCCACCCAAAAGCTGTCTTATGCAGAAGTTGCAAGGTCTCGACGGCCATCCAGAAGTAGTTCTAGATCTAGACGATCACAATCAAGATCACGACAAGAGACAGAGCATGTATTACTAGTCTATCCTAAGACTGAGGGTAGTACATCCGACGAGGTAAAGGAGAAGCTGGTGAAGTACATAGATCCAGGGAAACTCAAAGTAGGCGTCAAGAATATAAGAGAGTCAACAAAGGAGGGCTCCTAGTAGAAGTTACGAAAAAGGAAGAACTAGGCAATACTTGAAGAGGCCATAAATGAAAATCGGAAGCTGAAGGACGTAGTGGAGACGAAACATCCACAAAAAAGAAACCCCAGAATAATAGTCTACAATGTCAACGAGAACATTAATAAAGACGAAATAGTAAACTTCATTAAAACACACAACACCGACCTAGCAGAAAGTGAATTAGAGGTTCTGTTCGCCATGAAGGCCCGCTTTGGACAGCACTGGGTTCTATCTATAGACCCAGTAGCTTTCAAGATCCTTATGAAAACGAGGAAGTTGAACATACAATGGTCAAGAAACAACGTAAGGGAGTTTATAAAGGTTTCGCAATGTGTCAAATGCCTTGGGTATAACCACCCAGCGAAATATTGCAAGGAAGATAAAGTCTGTGCCGGATGCGGCTCCACAGACCACGAGAATACCAATTGTGACCAAAAAACAGTCAGCTGTGTCAACTGCACAAAGTTGAATAAACGATATAATACAGGCCTCGATGCCCAACATGATAGCCGAGATAAGAAATGCCCATGCTACCTAAAAGAGCTCGAACGACTAAAACAACGAACATATTATGGATAGTATCCAAATAATCCAGATTAATCTTAAGCACTCCAGGAGTGCAACAGACAACTTAAAGATAAATTTTGAACAGAACGACAAACTCAAAGTAGCATGTATCCAGGAACCGTACACAGTACAGAACAAACTGTACGGATTCCCCACAAAATATAGGAAGTTCTACTCTCGAACAGACGCAAAAACTGCAGTGATTATAGCGGACTCAAATCTCCCAGTTCTGGAACTTTTCAGCTCTCCGGAGATTATAGCGCTTGCAATAGGCAGTGACTCAAGATTTATACTAATCACGGTATACTGTCCTCCATCGCAAGACATTGCACCAATCCTGACAACCCTAGAAAGGTTTATGCAGGACAATAACAACATGCTACAATAATTACCGGAGATTTCAATGCCAAAAGTCCCCTATAGGGCTCACATAATACGGACACACGAGGCCTCAAAGTATGCGAATTCATTGCCAGCACTGGACTATCGATTGTCAACGAGATAGGGGATACGCCAACCTTCGCAGGAGTAAGTGGCAACAGCTGGATTGACCTCACACTTATCATAAGTAGATACAGAATCCGGATTGATAATTGGAAGGTAACGGACGAAGCAAACAATAGCGATCATAATAATATCTATTATGACAACTCCAGCATTCATTACCCAACATGGAGAAGATCGAAAATCAATGTACGACATACCGACTGGCTAAGTTTCAAAAGGTATGTCTCAAAATCTCTAGCAGACCCTAGAAATCTGACAACTATCGAAGAAATCGATAAATATATAAGAGAAGTTACCACTAGTCTCCACGAGATCTATCAAAGAACAGTTCTCTCACATAACTCGAAACCAAGATCGCGCACCTGTCCATGGTGGACAAAAGATCTCACTATTCTCAGGAAAAAGGTTAGAGCAACAAGGAAAAGATTCCAAAAAACAACTGGAGAGGAAAGGACCCATAACAGGCTGCTTTACCAAAAGGTACGTGCACAGTACCGGCAAAAGATGTATAAAGAAAAGAAAAAAGCATGGGACATGACATGGAACAAAATCACTGTCAGCTCTCCGTTCGGAACATACTTCGATCTAGCTAAAGGGAAGAGCATGGATCCATTACAAATGACGAGCACAATTGAGGATACAATTAGAGAAATCATGAGGTTCCATTTTCCAGAAGACGACCCCAACCAGGACTCTACATATCACGCAGATATCCGTGCCCAATCAACCGAGATTCCAAACTCGGAAGACGATCAGCCGTTCACACTCGAAGAAATGCAACGTACGATAAACTCAACACGCCGAGGTAAAGCTCCTGGTTTGGATGGCCTCACGATTGAAACCATAGAAGAGCTTAGGCTCGCGGACGACAAAAAAATTCTATCAATCTTTAACAAGTGTCTTGAATTAGATTATCTTCCAAAGGAATGGAAAAACGCAGAGCTAGTATTGTTCCAGAAAGAGGGAAAACCGAAGTCCATGCCCAGTTCTTACAGACCTATCTGCTTACTCTCAGCGTGGGGCAAGGTCCTTGACAAGATGCTTACGCAGAGATTAACGTATTACCTGGTCAAAAACAAAACTACTAAACCCCGCCCAATTCGGGTTTACTAAAGGGCGGAGCACACACCGACGCCCTCAACCGTGTTCAAGACATCATCTTAAATAACAGACAAAATAACCTCCATACGTGTATAATATCGCTTGACGTAGCTTCCGCATTCAATAAACTATGGTGGCCAGCGCTCAAAACAAAACTAAAAGACCTGCGATGTCCAAAGAATCTTTACCAACTGATCGCAAGCTACCTCACAGAACGTCAAGTGACCTACAAAAGAGACGGCTTAAATATCACGATGAATTACCACAAAGGAGCCCCACAGGGGTCTAATATCGGACCCATCTTGTGGAACATAATTGCAGACTCAGCGCTGAACATCAACTTTGGAGACAATGCCAAGATACAAGCTTACGCCGACGATATTATACTCATAATAGACGGAGGCAATAGGACAACAATAGAGCGTAAAGCAGACGCAGCACTCAAATTGCTTGCAAAATGGAGTCAAGAAACAACAAACTGTGTTTCAGTATTGGAAAGACACAGATGATAGTCTTTCCAAAAGGTTAAAAAATAGACGTGAATCCACCGTGCATAAAGTGGGAGGGGCATCCACTGCGACGCCAGGAATACCATTAAATACCTCGGATTCACGCTTGATAAGAAGCTCACGTGGGTATCACATCTTACGGAAGTCCGAGATAAGACGCATCGAATCATCAATAAACTAAACAGGATAATCACAGACAAGTGGAGCCAAAAGGGGCGCCTGTTAAAACATCTATACCTTAATGCAATTGAACGCATGATCCTCTACGGCTGCCCAGTCTGGATGAATGGCACAGCAAGAATATGTCAAAAACTACATCAAATACAGCGAGTAATCCTGTTAAAAATCACCAGTGCGTATAGCACCACATCAACCGCAGCACTTCAGGTTTTAGCTGGCACGCTCCCACTCGACCTAAAAGCAGAATTAGAAAGATCAATCTATCGACTTCTACATTACAAAGAGGACCTTCACACTAAAAAGATTTACATCTATCCTATGCCAGCATAGAAAGCTTCCAAGATCCCCTGACTTACACCCAGGAGATCTACCCATCCTTTCCTGGTGCAAATCGCCACCCTCAGGACAACAAAGAGAGATTTTTTCTGACGGTTCAAAAATTTCAGGACGAGTAGGGGCAGCGTTCACGGTCTTTTCGAACAATGAAGAAATTTATCAAGCACAATTCCGTCTAAGCAATCATGCTTCAGTCTTCCAAGCCGAGTCCTTAGCACTCAAAGAAGCAGCACTATGGTTAGGTACGCAACCAGCAGCTCACACTTCATTCTTCACAGATAGCATGAGCGTTCTGAATGCGCTGAATTCCTTTCCTCCAAAACATCCGCACACGGCAGCACTTAGAGAGATCTTCTTGACGTTAGGCTCTTCCATCCCTTTAAAGATCAACTGGATAAAAGGACATACTGGGCAGAAAGGCAACGAACGAGCGGATGAACCAGCTAAGACTGCAGCTCTCAACCAGAAATTTACAAGGAAGTTCCGCTTTCCGCAGAAGTTGCAAAAAGGCTCCTCAAGACAGCATTTCAAGAGACATGGTCATCACGATGGCAGGAAGAAGAGACAGGAAAATTTACTTACAACGTCTTCCCAATACCTTCTCTCAAGAGGCTGAAATGCAACCGACTCTTCCTCCAAGCCTGTACCAACCACGGGAAATTCCCAGCGTATTACAGACGATTTCCTCAGACGGGACGTCAACTGTTCTTGCGGTTTTCGCGGGAAGACGCGGACGCACTTCATTACCTGCTCTCCTGCCCTCTGACAGAGCACCTTCGACAGCAGTTCTTTCCTTCCGACTACATCACATATCCTGTGAATAGACTGTTCGCGGACTATTACTGCAACAAGGGCATCTTAGAGATAATGAAACAAGTGAATGAAAATGATTATATCCAAGAAACTACAAATTAATGTAAAATGCAGAAATGTGGCCTAACCGTCAGATTGCTAGCAATGACTAGTTTGGCGGAACAGGTTAAGTAAAGTGACCATATATATCTCTCCTGCTTCAAAATTACCTAATGTCTCCACAAGTGTCCCTTTGGAATAAAAAGTATCTTTTAGAAATTTCTGTCTAAAAGCTTTAAATGCATTTTTCATAACTGTCTTTATCAATATTTCTAGCAATTAATCACCTTTTATTAGCCTGTTCCACTTACTATAAAAGCACTACAGGTTAGAAATTTGACCATCTATGTAAGTAATTCTATAGCAGGGGTGGGCAGACTTTTCCAGGATACGGGCTACTTCTAATTTTTTTAGATGTTGCAGTCTCCCTAGTGGCGTGCAGCTGAATTTTCCGTAACAATCACAGGACTAATACTTTACTCCATACCAGAGAGTATCCACTAAATGAGAATGCCCTGGTCTCCTAATTTGAGTATCGGAGCATTCAGGAACTGCTCAATAATGAGAAGTATCCCCTAAAGCAGGATTCCACTGTGTGGAAAAAAAAAAAAAAAAAAAAAAAAAAAGGTTGAAATAGCATATTATTTTTCAGATGCATAGGTTTCGATTGCACAGGGAAATAAAGGATGAAAATAACGAATCATCGAAAATCATAACTCGTTTCAATCCTATGTTAGTATTTCAAAACATACTGTATTTTATGAATTTTCGAAATTTACCTATTTTCTGAAGATGCGTAAGTTAGTTCTAATAAAAGAAGATAAGCTCTCAAGAAATTATAGTATTCAACAATCTTTAATATAGCTGTATTTCTGAAAACATTAAGGCATAAATTTTTCAACAAATACTATACTTGACTTTTATAGAAAGTGTACTTAATAAGATGTCAGCCACAAGTGATTCTATAATTTCTCCTTTCAATGAATATCGACTTTCCGTGTTTCATGAAAATTTATACTTCCATTATAGATTGCCAAATAGTTCATTTGCTATCATAAAAAATAAATAAATAAAAATTTAAGAGTCGAAACAAAAATTTATCAGCAAAACAATGTCCACAAGTGTTAAGTTCAATATTTGAATAACTTTCCTGAAAGCAATTTTTGGAATTAAGTAAACATCACTAAGTGCGCCAGCTTTATCACTAATGAAATGAACAAGTATGAATTGCTGTGTTCACAGATACTGCGAGCAGAGGCGATGCTTTCACCTTGTTGCTTTTCACCATTCTGTGAACACTGCGAGTAGTATCTTTAACAACCGCCAACGAAAATAATTAATTAAAATTAATTTGAAAATATTTAAGAGCTTGAAATCAAATATTAAACCTGGTTCTGTATCTTATTTCTGCGTTATTTCTGAGGACTTTAAATTTTATTCCTACTGAAAGTCAATCATTTTAGCATAAAATTTAATTCTTTTTATTTAATTTTTTAAATTACTTGTAATTTTCTTAATGAAAATGATGAAGATACAAAATTTTTGTTTTACAACCAAATCTCATATATTATTAATAATATTTTTATGGCCTACTCGAGAAGTTGCCACCGACGATTGCGACTTTCCAATGTTGCCGGAAGGTAAGTTAAATCATTTGCAATGAAAGTAATTTTTAATTTACAGAAAATTACTGTAAATAATTACGAAATTATTAACACATATTCTTAGCAAAATGTTTGATTATAAATAGTTTTGTTCTGCTGCTTTCATAAATATGTTTAATATTTGTCAGATTAATTGAATTTAAGTTGATGCATAAATTTCATTTTGATTGAGTTTTATTTTGATTGAATTTTTAAAATAGCTGTTTTGAATCAAATAGTTAATAAATCATTAATAAAATAGTTAATCAGATGTTCAGGGAATTAAAGTTTAGTTAAACTTTTAAAGATTAGCTTGAGCACTAGATATTATTTTGCACTTGTAGCTATCTTCTATTAAATGGAGATTAAGCGACCTTTTAAGATAACACAACACTATTTGTCTTTTATTATATAATTTTTATTTATTTTCTTTGATATACATAATAAAAAAACTAAGACTGATAGCAACTACAGCAACGTCACAAAATGTGGGTTTAATAGTACTTTGATTTCTCTATAGTGTCATATGAATCTAAGATTCTCATAATTCATTCAAGATACTATATGATATTCATAAGCGAAAACATTTTAATTCTACGAGAACAAAAATTATACCTGTTGACATATTTAGTAGATAATTATATTCTCTGTAAGAAAAAAACTGATCTTGATTTAAAAGACAGGTAAAATCTCATAAATGGTCTTTATATAGCAAAATTATAAACAAAAAACCAGAATTAAGATTACTATACATTCAGCAATTGAAGTTTCCCTGATAATTATATATCCGAAAAAATTTGAAACACTTGGTTCTTCAAGCCAGAGTGCGAACCGGTCAGTTAATATTTTTCTCATGGGATGTAGCTCTAGCAGTCAACTGTACATGGACTATCTATATGCAAGAGCTCGAAGCCATTGAAAGATTATATCTGTAAACTTGGCTCCTAATTTCCATTCCCACATGCGAATAATGCTTCAATCAAGGCTACTACAAATAGGCTTCAAATGGAAGTGTTTAACTATCCTATCTGGTGCTAATAATAAAAATTCATTTTTTATGAAAAACAGTGCTCTTCCATCCTAAGAACTGATGTTATATATTTAACTAGATTTCACTCATGTAAAATTTACTTGATTAAGATAAGGAAGAAATGTTTTTGATGATTTCTCACCTTAAAATAATGGTTAACTCAAATATTTTTTTTTCCGGTCATCTAAACTATTCTGCAATATTCTGCCACGCTAGTAACTTGTTAACTAGAAACCTTAATAGTAAATAATTAATCTAATTTTAAATTATATGAATGTTTTGAAATATTAATAGAAATGAACTCGCAGTTATACGAAAAAAAATTTTGACCTTGCCATGACAGTTACTACTATTAAATTATATTTGCAGGAAGAAAAGGGAAGATTTTGAATTTTTGGGGACAGTTC